CACGAGTACCACCCCCACCGCCGCCGCCAATGCCAGCACCACCCTGCCCCTACCCACCTCCCCACCCCCCTGCCCTGTTCCCGAAAATTCCTTTTATGTAAGTGGGTCAGCGCAGGAGGAAAAAAAAAAAAAAGGAAACAAAATATCGGTCCGAGGAGAAAGATGGGGAGTTCACTCCGGCTGGCTAGCACGGGCGCCCAGGCAGACACTGAGCAGAGAGGTGCCTTGTGCTTCAATTTATGCTCTCTGGTTGATACCATCCCCCCCACCTCCCATCACCCTCCCCTTCTCTCCCACCCCCCGTAGCACACACGCATAAGCACACCCTCCCTCTTCTCCCACCCCCATCCTGCCTGTTCCCCCCAGCCCAGCTGATCCAGCCTGGATTAATGAAGGAGCCCCAGCTGCCAGGGATTACACAGGCAATGAGGGACAGTAGGACCAGGAGGACTGATGTCCTGCCCCTGTGAAGACGGCAGCAACCTCCTGACGAGGGGAAGGTGCAGGCGGGCTGGAGGCTGGAGGCACATGTGCCGAGAGATCAGCACAGCAGGGCGACCCCTGACCCCTGGCCTGCTCCGTCATGACATAACGAGACGACACCGAGGTGCCGGGCGTACGGTCCCTATGGCCCTCTGTAGAATGTGGCTCGGTTTGGCGTGTCCCCATTTTACGCGGTCTTCTGCCTCCCTCATGTTAAAAATGCGGACCGTTTCGGAAAACGGCCCCTGCAGTCGTTTCCTATTTATGTACTGAGGAAGACATAGCAGGGAAAAGATGGCCTTAGCACTGACTCCTCCCTTTGGCATCAAAAGTGTGCCCCCCCCCCCACCCCCCATGACCAAACTGCTGAAAGTCCTACTTTCTGTAAATCTCCAGTCGCCTGCTTTGGTTTTTTTGAGCTCCTTTCTAAAGGTGGGAACCAAACCAGAAATAACAAGGTGTCAGAATGGCTTCCTTAAGATACAGCTGCTGATCCAGGACAGCATAGTCCTCTGGCTACAGTGCTTTTTATAAGTGTATGTTAGAATGGCACACGGTGGGCTGTAGCTGTATAATTACTTGTGCAGTAGCAGGTTTTGAAGTAATGAATTTAATTCCGGAATTTGCACGCAAAATGACAGTTTTTGTGGATTTGTTCAAAAAGATCACCTTTCTGTGCTGGAGCCCCAGGTTTCTGTGCTATAGCACATAAATAAAACAGATGAAAGATGCCGGCCCTGTTCTGAGGATGAACCAACCTGTCATTTTGCTTTTGGAAATGGAACTTGCACATTTTCTATTTCTATTTGAACTCATCTCTTCCAGTTAAAATGAAGCCTTGAATTGAAGAGTCGTGGTCTTTTTCAAAATCAGCTCTACCATGTTGCTGGATTTTTTAGATTTCTTTATTTTGATAAAAGAAAGCCTTGTTCCTTTTATTTTTTGTTTGTGAAAAAGGATTGAAACTGCATTTAATTTCCAAGATAGAGTTAATCTTAACTTTGTGCTTAACATGAGCGAATATGAGCAGTTTACCGAATGTTAGATAATGTATGGCTGTTTTTTCAAGGTTTTAGTATTGATTTTAATAAACCTTAAATGAAAGAACGTTTGACACAAATCTAGTACTTCACAGGCAATAAATAACATGGCTATGGTTTCAGTGGTAGTTTGTTTGGATTTTAAGGAAAATATAGCCTCCTTTTTATTCCAGCTTCTTGACATGATGGTATGATTGGTAGGAAAGTGAAAAAAGGAGGAGACAGAGTTAATTCCTGAACAGGGTAGCATTCTGGGATTTACTGATGATCTTAATACAAAATTCTAAAAAAGAATCTACTGAGATTTGAATAGGTTCTGACAGATAGGGATCTCTGTGTGTCTCTTTTTAAAACAGAGCTTTAGGGTATGGAAGTAGCTGAGTACTGAAAGAATGACTATGTGATTAGAGCAGAGTACATTTTGTGTGTTCTTTCTGTGTCCCTTCATATTGACTTATGTATGTAGCATCTGATTGTGAGAGCCCCCCTTAATCTGTTCATATTTCACTGTATTGTATCTGTCTGCTTCAGGCCTCGTGATGTTTCAGTTTTTAGCATTTTAGTCAGTGCTCTGCTTTTGCATGTTGGAACCTAGATTTCATCGTTTAGTTCTGCGAGACTGTGGAAGAGTTTTGAATATTACCGTGCAGTGCATTTACTGATTTTTGTTAATTACTCTTGTGTCGGAGATGTTATTTATGGGTGCGAGATTTACGCAGTGCGATGTAAATTGAGTTGTCTGACATTTGTATTCACGTCTGTTCATATACATTACCAGTCTTTCCTTCCATATAGCTATGTTAAAGAATAGCTCCTGCCTGCTCTTCTGAGGGCGTGGCGATCAGCGATCAGGATAGAGATTATACATAATTGGTGTGATAGCCTGCTCCATGCATTGTTTTTGATGTCGTGCAGGCAGGGCTTTCATTTAATTTTTAATTTATATTAAAAATACATTTTACATTTAGCTTTACAGGGATTCATATGATATTTTCCTTTTTTTCTGAAATGAATCGATGTTTAATTTTAATTCTAAATAAAATATTTAAAGTTTTGCACAAAGCGTTCCCTGGCTTTGAGAGGACAGGCGTCTGCAAAGTCTGTTTTAGGTGATTACTGTATATGGACATGGACTGGAAATGTATGCATATTCATACAACTACACATTCATAATTCTGATTTGTCTCAGACTGCCTGCAGTGCCAGATCACATGCTTATTATCACACATAATATAGCACATGTATATTAACTGCTTGTGCAGTTCGCAGTCACTTTTATGGGTTGAAGTTTTCATCTAAACATATTTATCAAGTACGTTCCTAAACTCCTTTTAATGAACACTATACAGGCATGATTTAAAATATACAAAAAATACAAAAAGCTTAAATGTCATTTTAAAATAATTTAAGAAATATATATATATAGATATAAACTATACCATGAATGTGAGCGGTGTACACCTTTACATTTTTACAAAGAACAGAATTAACCTTTTTTCAAAAAGAACATTTTCCACTGCAGTTAAGTTTGCACATGAAAAACAATTACAGATCGCTGTTTCTACTTTGGCTTAAAAACGTGACAATAGCAAATGACCCACCAAATGGTGATCTCAGCTCCCAAATCTGTTTGAGATTAATTGTGAAATGTACTGTTTTCTGTAGAGTGCCTTGAGGTGCAGAAAAAATCTTGAAATTGCTCTGTTACAGAATATTTTACCTTAGAATATGTACCTTTTCTGTATATTATAGTGCCACAGCCCATTTCAGGAGTAAGTGGCTTGCTAAAAAGGATGTAGAAATGGGGAGATTTTTGTAGCTGTGGAACAGTGAATCTGGGTGTCCTAATAATTTGGACGGGAGGTTAATACAGCAGTTCTGGGCATGTTCCTACTTCTTTATCCAGACACGTGCATGGTCACTGGTCACACAAACACCAACAGCCAGACCTGACCTGCTTCTAAAAGCCCTGTGCCTTCTTGTCCTACATTTATTGGAATTAAGCTTCTGATTTTTTATTTGGTTTCTTTCCGCTATCGTTTTTAACTCACATGATAAAATCTGAATTAAGAATACAGGAAGCAAATTAAGGTTGCGGATTTGCAGGGCACAGCAATAGGCTTTTGATGACGTCTAATCTGTAGCATGCAAACATAGCAGAAAGCCATATCCCCCAAGCTGGTATGAACCTGCTTACTACATTATACACAGAGAGAGTCATTCCTGTTCTCCTGCAAGCATGCACGCAGACAGACACGTTCTCAGTACATACATAATACATTTCGAGCCTTGTAGTGAGACTGAGGTACTACCATCAGACACTGATTTAAATGCAGCAACATCCTTAACGGTGGTGTAGATTTGTAGAAATGTGAGACTTAATCTCCCACAAGAGGAAGAAAATGAATTTGTTCTGAATGTAAAGATTTCTATTTGAAATTCCTAAAAAATCCTTACCCACGGAAATCCTAAGGAATCCTTAATTCCTAAATATTTTGGTCATTCACCATGTTAGCATTTTTTGTGGTTTGGGATTTCGACATTTGCTCCTAAGAACAAAAACAAATCTACATGCTGTATCCCACAATCAAAACTACAACATATTGTTCTTTTTCTGTGCTTTTGTCATCCAAACTAATTGTTGTGCATTTTGCAACAAATTACAGTGAGCCCAATCTAGCTTTTCTTCTGTTATCACTAAATCACTTCTCCTAGTTTACAACAAGCCAGAATCTCTCCTGGGCACACAGGACACAAGGCACTTGCAGTAAAGAACTGCTAAAAACAGCGGCCCCCTTCATTTTACCCATATTATTTATTTTGAGAGTAGAGTTTGATCATCTTTTGTGGTCTTTTCATGAGAGATGCCATACTGGTTTGAGTTTCTTAAACAAAATGTGCTTTTGCCCCAGTGGATGTCTCCCAAGGTCAGCTGCCGATGTGACTGCACAGTCACTGTGCGGATGTGTGCTGGGCTTCTGTGTTTAGTTTCGGAAGTGTCACAAACTGTAAATTCTTCCTGAGCTTATTAACGAGTGGACCCCATGCACTTAATTCTGGGAGTAAAATGAAAGATCGCAGACCTCCCCTTGTATCTCATGCACAGGTTAATTAAAATGATGTGTTCGTAATTAAAAAAGTAATTAAGGGTGCTATTGTAAACTGCAGCTTAGAGGGGCCTCTGCTGCACAAACTGCTGTTGGGGGCACAAGGAGTGTGAAACAGAATATCAAGAGATGCACAATATAAAACGCCTTTTCAGCAAATTCTGAAATATACTGTAGCTTCTGCCATTTATATCCATCCATCTGTTTTCTAAC